TTAGGGTAGTACTATGCTATGGTATTTTTTCTAAGATTTTTCTAAGCTATAAAAATAGATGTTGCTATTCAAACCTATTATTAATTTGGGTTTAATCAAATGTTGCCTTATGTGTGATTAAGAAATTAGTGAAGCTTTGGTGTATCTTTGAAGCATTTAATGAGATGTGTTGACTCAGCATATTAGTAGTAGAAGAGAATGCAATAGATGACATGTGCTTGTAGTATATGTTCTTGGATGATGTTGACTACCTTGCATTCAAGCATATCCATTGTGTTTATTTCATCCGATGCACTTTTGCATAAGCACTTGCGCACCTGCATCATACAGGATCACAAACCGAGAGCCCAGTCGTCATACCCGAGGAGCCCAAGGAACAGCTAAAGGTGCAGTCGTAGGAAGTGACCGAAGCAGACGAGGAGGACGTTGAGGAATTTCCGGAGTGCCCCGATCACCGCCCGAGCTCCTTCGAGAGAGGCAAGCCCTTGAGCATTTTTCTCCCCGGTTTGCAATTATTAATTAAATGCTTTATTTTAATTGATGCATTACGTTCAGGAGTTGCTTGCAACCGTTGCTGCATTATACCTTGTCTACCTTTGTTATACTATATCCTTGTTATCCTAGTATCCGCAATTGAGTCAATGCTTAGCTGGCTTAGACCGGTAGAAGTCGGGTGATTTCCTGTCACCTGCGAGCTATAGGTGGTTACCTGGATCTGCTTGGAGAACTATGTAGTCATGGTATAACTAAGTGTTACATGAAGTTGAGACCGGACGGAGACTTATAGAGTTTTGGACTGTAGTGCTTTCCGTCTGTGTCGATTAAGGACCGACCGTTGTTGGGCCTCAGGTCATGTTGAACGCATGCCTTACATTTAGCTGGCCGAATAAAGTACCTTTCGACCACGAAGTTGGGAGATTATTCGGGCCGAGTAGATTGACCGCAGCGCACTGTGCCGGAGCAGGTGTGGTAGGACATGGGGGCGCGAAGATAAGACCAAAGAGCAGTCGGTCGCCCCCCGGGTACATGTGGTTCCTGGTAAACTCGAGATTCCTGGATAGTTGACTCGGTGACCGATACCTCACTTTAGCGGGTGAGTGAGGTTTGTGTAAGGAATAAATCACCAGCTGGTTAGAAATCGATTCGAATCGCCATCGCACCTGGATAGTGAGCACTTGACTTGAGTGACTTCATCGTAGTAATGTTGATGGAACACTTGGACAGTTATAATGAATATGACATTATGAAAGTTGTTAATGATCATTGGTTATCATTATTTGTTTAATCACATGTTTGTTATAGTATAGGTGCAAATGTAGTCGACAGGTTAATAATAATTAACTTGACAATAATGCTTTTGTAAAGGTTCTTGAAATACTAAAAATGCCTCTTTTTGCAAATGAGTCAGCTACCCTACTATAAAGCCCTTCATAATCCTTGGTGTCACTTTATTTTCGGTTATGTCGGGTAAGTCTAGCTGAGTACCTTCTTGTACTCAGGGTTTTATTCCCACTTGTTGCAGATGTGTAGATGTATTACGGCTACTGTATCAACTGCCTTTATCATGCGATGGGTGATGCTTAGGACCATGGGCATGGTCATTCCTTACGTCTCGTCTGATGCTTTTGTTGGAGATGATCATTAGCTGGCACTGTATTTGAACTCCGTGTGAGTGTATGTGGTTTTGAACAAATGGCTTCCGCTACTTATATTTGAACTCGTTTTGTAACAACTATGTTTAAACTATAATGTATCTGTGATGCGAACTTTTATGTAATATGTGATGGTGACCGCTAAACTTATTACGATCTTGGCTGGTATGTGAGTTGGTTTGAAATCCTTCGTGATTTCACGGACTACCGGGTTATACGGGCTTAAGTTTGCTAAATCGTCTGCTCTGGCAGATGATTTTCTTACTTAATTTCGTATAATTGATCGGTTCTGTTACAAGAGGCTCGGGGGCTCTTCCTGTAACCTTGCCGAGACCCAGCGACCCAGGCTCGCACTCGAGGGGGCTCGGCAAACAAACCCCTCCTTCCGAACGAAAAGGATGCGCGAGGGTCGCATAAAAAGCCAGGGGAACTCCTGATCGCCCTCTCGCTCCGTGCAAGAGGCTCGGGGGCTCTTCCTACAACCTTGCCGAGACCCAGCGACCCAGGCTCGCACTCGATGGGCTCGGCAAACAACCCCTCCTTCCGAACGAAAAGGATGCGCGAGAGTCGTCTAAAAAGCCAGGGAAACTCCTGATCGCCCTCTCGCTCCGTGCGGAGGCTCGGGGGCTCTTCCTGCACCCAAAACGAAAGCAAGTCACCCAAGCTCGCACTCGGAGATTCGGAAAAATGTGACAAAAAGGGCACCGAGCCCGTTACAGTCCAGGGGTTCAAAGGCTGGGCTCCCCCAAAGGTTTCGACAGCCGCCCCAGGACAATAGAGTCAGGGATGATTGTGGGCAAGCCCGAACATGGCAAAAAGCCCAAGCAAGCAAATGCTTGGGAAGCCCTAAGTCATGTTCGAGACCAGCAGGGAAGTCTTCGAATGGGATCCCACCATAGGGAGGCATCGAGCCCCCGGGGCCAATCGAACGGCCCTGGGACCCACTAGAGAAGCCCTCTGGAACTTTTGGAGTGCGTCTCTAGACCGCAAGCCGACCCCTATCGAATAGGGGCACGGGCCTCCACTTGGACCACCCGATAACAGCTCACTAGAGATGTCACTGCTCGCGCCCACCAAGGGTAGCCTGACATGTTCCACCCCTCCTTCCGAATGAAAAGGATGCGCAAGGGCCGCCAAAAAAGACAGGGAAACCACTGATCGCCCTCCCGCTCCGTGCAGAGGCTCGGGGGCTCTTCCTGCAACTAGGCCAAGTCCCAGCGACTCGAACTCGCCCTCATGGGCCCGGCAAACGTGATAAAATTCCTCGCTCAGCGGGGACAAAGCCCCTCGAGGGGTAAATCCACTCCTCTAGGGCCTCGGGAGCTACACCCGGCTGGTGCGCTCGCGCGCACCCACCGGAACCTCAAAAACAAAACACAATCCTGACGAGAGCAGCTGCAAGCCAAGTCTCGACAAACCCTCAGGGAAAGTGCTCGCACTCCCCTCGAGGCTTGGGGGCTACTGTCGGATACCATAAAAAGGGGTACCCTAAGCAAGAACCGAAAAAGATTGCTTAAAACCTCACAAATATCAAAGCCAAAGGACAATCACAGGGTCTCGGCCGATTCTCCGACTCGCCTGGAGCCTGCGTCGCAACGACTCTCTGCCTCGCCGAGGCCCTCTCGTGCCGAGGCCCCGCTCCGTAAGGCCTCGAACGGGTTACCGATTCTCTGATTCGCCCGAGGCCCCACGAGTGAAGCCTCGGACGAAGTACCGATTCTCCGACTCGCTCGAGGCCGGTTTGGCAACAACCTTGTCGCCTCTGCCTCGACCGACTTCTCAGACAAAACGTCACGCATCCAACCACTCCCGCGACGTCAGCCACACGTGGGCGCAGTACAGCAGGGTGGCCGACGGGACGTGAGACAGGACGAAACAAGGGTTACTGGCCACTGTGCTCAGCACTGCACCCATGCCTGACGCGCCGTACTGCACTGTGCTACCTAATTCCTGCTCCAGGAGCAGCACGGCGTGGGGAAGCGGCACGGGTCATTGTAGCCTTGGAATCGGTGCATGAGACCAACTGCTCCCTCTAAGGCCTCGGCAATCCACTTCCAGGTCTCGGCAGCCTTGGGATTCACGCCCACCGAGCCCCCCACGATGGCTCGGCCTCGGCACCAACTGAGCCTCAGCTCTTTTCACCGTCAACCCATAGCGACCAGCACACCGTCGGCCATACCCTGCGTCAAGCTGTCACTGGAGCACCCACGTCATACGAAATCGGGTGTGACCAGCGCGTTGCTCCAGTACATCAAGGACAAGACCACTCTATTGACCATGCCGCTATAGTAGTAAGCTACAGGACTCTAGCACGCCACCTCCGCTCGCCGCATGGCGAACACATGTATCACCCCTGTCCCTCCTTCAACTATAAAAGGGAAGACCGGGGCCGTTCTTAAGGGGGGGACTCACGAACTCACGGAGATAGACTCACGTAGACACATGCTCTCCCAGGCTGCCTGAGAGCAACGTCTCAAGCAGCCCGCACCGTTCCACACCGAGACCTAGGACTAGCTCTCTCTCTCACCTAGCTTGTAACCCCCTACTACAAGCACTTCGGTGCAAGTAATATAAGATCGATCTCTCAGACTGGACGTAGGACACCAATTGTCTGAACCAGTATAAACCTTATGTCTCTTTACATCGTCTGAAATTAGGAGCACGCAGGACCGACACCATGCATGTTGTCAGTTGTCGTAACTGCGTCCGGTTGTGTGTTGGATGAGAGCGGACTATTGTCTATTTATATTAAATTATTAGCTTAGTAGCCAATGGAGCTAACTGTTCTTTAATTCATTGGTCGACTCTCTTTCCAGACAGGTCCATTTGTATACTAATAGTACTACATAATATTTTGCCACTGATTGATGGCTAAATGCTACTGCCTGTACTATGTCACAAGAAATTTACACTGATTTACCCTGTCGACCGCTATTTTGGTACCAAGAACAAATCCGGGATGAAATCTACTCCTATTTACACGTTCAGCATTTTTTATTCTTCGCTTCCAAGTTCCAACCGTTGAGCGGTAGCTGCAAAAGCTGTTCATTTCTTATCTCCACGCAGACTCTTCAAAAGAAAGAGCACTATTGCAGAGCTTCCTAGGAATTTGTTTCAGTTCAAGATGGCATCTAGGAGTAGCTGCTAGATGGAAAGCTGCTTCCATTAAGCTGCATGATAATTTGCCCTATGGAAGGCCTTTCTTTTGGATTTTCGCTGACACAATTTAGCCCAACATCAATGCATCTTTTAACTTGTTGGAGGCTGCTTGCTTCCAACGTCGGGTACTTCGAAGCTATCTGCGGCATTTTTGTCCAAGTTTTTTGTACCTGTAATTGCAAAGTTTCATTAAAGAGCATCAATTACACCATTCAAAGTACGGTTCAATACCTCTATTTGTCAGAACAACATTCTTCAGGTTAAGGATAAAAAAATCAAAACATGTTGGACTTACATTGTCGATAAGGTTCTTAGAGGACAAATCTTTAGTGTTAGAATCTACTTTTAACCCTGTTACTATCTCGATTATAAGGATACCCAGACTGTATATATCTGTTTTGGTTGAGACTTCACCTCTGTAGTAATATTCTGGAGCCATGTACCCTCTGCATCATATGAAAGTCAATGTTGGAAGCAGTACAGGTAATCTAATCCATTTGATCATGAACACACAGAGAATTGTTCTTAATTTTCGTCAAGCTTACCTTGATCCCAAAACATTTGAAGTGAGTGTACGTGTTTGCTCTTCGCCAAAGAGCCTTGATAAACCAAAATCGGCAATTTTGGGCATTAAATTATCATCCAACAATATATTGCCAGGTTTGAGATCCATGTGAATTATGGGTCTGTGCAATTCATGTAAGAACTGTAAACCCTGACAAATCCCCTGTATTATTATGAAGCTGATGCTCCAGTTAAGCTCATGAGATGCACCTGTACAAATACACAAATCAGTAAGTCAAAAACTAGAAAAGTTGTATTTTTGTGTAGCACTCATAATTTTGCATTATTACTAGCAAACTAAAATACTTTGAATGCAAATTTACTACTATAAGTTTTGGATCCATCCTCAAGATATATGGACATATTTAAGGAAATCTAATATGTAATGTGGACAAATACCTTTATAGTCTCATACTAAATTGCACTATATTTTGTGATGGGTTCAGTAAATATCTAGTGGGCACACCTTAAGTTTAAATTTAACTGATCGTTGTCACCTAAACATAGGGAGCAGAAGTATATTTTTCCCTGGTGTCTGAACAACTTGTTAAATAACCCTGCCTATGACTGTTAATTCGTGTTTGATACAACAGAAGCCAATATCTATCTATAAGAGACTATAAATTTGAGGCCTATCACATCGGATCACTGTTCATCCGGCGCGCACACAGACTCAGCCAGTAACGGATCACGATGAACAGTATCCGACCCGATAAGGAACAGTACCTTTTTTTTTTTTTTCCCCTCAAAGCGTCCACTGTTGCCCCGCGAAGCGCGGGGTTACCTGCTAGTTCCACTAAAATCAAAGAGAGAATGAGATAAAGTAGAATACCGTAAAGATACTTGTCAAGGCTCCCCCTAGGCAAATACTCATAGCAGAGTATCCTTTCTTGTGTGTCTGCAAAAACATATCTTCCATGGGATTCCACCAGTTTCTTATGTATTTCATAACAATACCCGATTAGCTTCACTATATTTCTATGATTGAGATCAATCAGACTAAATACTTCATTCTTAAATTGCTTATCCAGATTGATTTGTGGAACTACCAAAAGCTTTTTTACCGCAATAACTTCTCCATTTTGAAGCATTCCCTGAGATTAATTAAAATCATTAGTACAGAACAATATTCAGATAGCTTCTCCCATATTTTTTCTCAAATTGATGGTGATGGAAATTAAAATATACCTTATAAACTACCCCCAAAAGAACCTTTACCAATTTCAGCTTCATTGGCAAAGTTCCTGTGATTTCCTCTACAAAGTGTAGCTTTGGTTCCCTTGGGAATTCAGTTATCAGTTGCAGCTTCTTCTCCATGAATTTGTGTATGCTAGCTTCATGGCTGATTTCTGCTTGAACATATTACATTTTAAACAAGAGAATGCATATTTTACTCTAGAGGTAGAAAGTACGACAACAGTTGAATTGGCCCTGTTTACGCTATATTTAAACAAAGCCTCTAGATTAAATCCTTCAATCCTGAAATGAATAAATGGTTTTATGAACCAGTTCCTTTACCTTCGAGTTTACCAATTATTGATCCTACAGTAGGCCTTTTCTTTGGATCCGTCTCCACGCAGTTTAAACCAAGGTCAATGCATCTTTTTACTTGTAGCATGTGTTGTTCTTCCAGTGATGGATACTTTGATTCTATATGCGACATTTTTGTCCAATTTTTAGATACCTGTGTGAATTAGAAAAATTAGATAATGAAATTGTAAAGTAAAGAAGCAAACTGAATAGTAACAGTCCTGAATAGAGACTAAATTGTTTATACTATTACAGCATTGCTTACATTATCAATTAGTAACTTAGAATAAATGTCTTGAATATTGAGGTCCCTTTTCAGTCCTGTCACTATTTCGAGAATAAGAACACCCAAACTGAATATGTCTGACTTTACTGATATTTCTCCTCTGTAATGGTATTCCGGGGCAATGTATCCTCTGGGTCACATTAGCATCAAATTATATTCTGTCACACAAAAAATACTAATGCAACTTTGAAGAATGGAAAGATACAGAAACTAGTAAGTTCTTACATCCATCCCACAACATTTTGGGTGAGAATTCTGGTTTGTTCTTCACCAAACAACCTTGAAAGTCCAAAATCTGCAATTTTCGGCACCATGTCGTCACCCAACATTATGTTGCTAGGTTTAAGGTTCAAGTGAACTATGGCTTCACTTCGCTCCTCATGCAGAAAATGTAACCCATTGCATATCCCCAATATTATTTTGAAGCGCATGGGCCAACCAAGTCCAGAAGATTCATCTGAAGAATAACAAAAGGAAGAAGGAATTGAAATACTTCAGAGAAAGATCTTCTCAATGATATCTTTGCATCTTCTGTGTTACAGAAAATGGCAAAATGTTTTATGTGCCCTGTATCATTCCTGGGTATATATAAAGTAGCCTTCATCATGTTTACTTTCTATCGTAGACCAAGACCATGTAGGATTCTGTATTTAGACAGTCAAAAAACGAAAATAAGTATGCAACCAGGGATTACCATACCGTAAATGTATTTGTCAAGGCTTCCATTAGACAAATATTCATAGCAGAGGAATTTTTCTGGAACGTCTGAGAGAAAATGTCTGCCGTTTCTCTCCACCAATTTCTTTTCTACTTGGTAACAAGAACCAAGTAACTTGACAATATTTCTGTGTTCCAGAGTCTGGAGATTGCCTGCCTCATTCTGAAAACGTCTATCATGAACTCCGGATGTTCGCACAAGCTTCTTCACAGCAACCAGTTGTCCACTCTGAAGTATGCCCTGCTTTGGTTCCATGTTAGTATATGGTTTCAACTTTTTTACTAGTTATAGTTAACTTCAAAGAATTAAAATATGAGTCATAAATTATACCTTATAAACCACTCCAAACGCACCATGTCCAACCTCTCGTTCACTTGAGAAGTCTTTTGTGATGTTCTTTAGGAATTCTAGCTTTGGCTCCCTTGGAAATGCACTTGATATTTGTGAGTTGTCGTTTAAGCTACTTTGTCTGCTGGAATCTCCCTTCATTCCCCAACTATACAAAAATAACCTTCATATGAGACGATAAATCATGCGGGGCTGCACAAAACATAACATAACATTATAAATAAACATTGCAAGCCTATGGTCAACCTACAACTCTCTTTGATTGATAGAAGTAAGGAAAGTCCAATAACTATGCCCCTTCCATTAAGCCTATGGATACATTGCAAGCCATTGACATACAGAACTAGATATTGATAGATAAGTGAAATCCACGAAATTTAGGGTTCATAAAATTTAAGAATTTGTGGAGAAAATTACAGATAATCGTGATTGTTTGGACTTGGGATGAACATAAATATGCTAAGCCTACATAATACAAAGGTAGCGAATCTCCTGCGTGTTTTCAATAAACAGATTGTTCCTCAGTCGTTTGTAAAGCAGCAATTTAATAAGAGCCATCCAGATGAAATGTCAATTTGGTAAAAGAGAGAGAGAGAGAGAGAGAGAGGAAAAATTCACGCCCCAAAGAACATACCTGAAGCAACGATGTCTGTTTGTGAGACAATAAGCGGGAGGCTCCTCTCACTGATGATCGTTGATCGGACACGGACACAACCTGGAGATGAGTGGGTGTGGGAGACGAATGGCTGTAGGTTTTGGGGGAGGATGGGAGAAGCGCATCCACAGAAGCAACTGTAACTCTTCCAATAATGCCCGTGTGAACCGTTGACTTGACTTGCTGCGACTGGGGAGGCGACGGCTCAGATTGTCTGACTTACCCCATGCCTGATGCCCTCCGTTCCTCGTCCAATGGCTAAGCTAGGTAGGCGGCGGTGGCGCAGACGCAAGAAGAGCTGGGCAGCAGTAGCGCGGGCTGGAGCTCGGCAGGCAGTGGCGCGGATGCGGGCGAAGCTGAGCAGCGGCGGCGCGCCGGCGCGGACACTCGACCGCAGCGGCGCGGCGGTGCCCAGTCCCGCCCAAATTCCGTGCGCCGTCCCGTATCGCGCTTTTTTTTCTCCAGCGGCCGTAGGACTGTAGGAGGAGGAGCAAGTTCGTCCTAATTTTTTACGATTTAGTCTTTTTTTTTAAAAAAAATTACGTTTAACCCTCTAGGAAAGTAAACTCATCTTTAACCCTGGCCGACGTCAGGACTCGTGATGTCAAGGTGCACAGATCTTAACGCCTTACGTCGAGCCGGAGGAGACCGTGATCGTGTCACTGTCGCTGACAACTGGCCTGGCCTATTCGCGTCAGAGCATGGGCTGCTGTGCTTTGCGTGCCTGGCCTGGTCGCGTCAGAGTGTGAGCTGTTGGACAGTGGGCTTCTGTGCTTTGCGTCAGAACATTGAATGGAGACAATCTTTTCTTTTTACTGGCCACATAATTCACAAGTACAATGCTGCTCGAGACGACGACGATAGCACTGGTTAGCTCTTGTCGACAAACAATTATTTATAACTATGCTTCCTGATCATGCATAGTAGATGGCATGTAAAAGAGCTTCTAGAAAAATTTTACCTGTTTCAGGTGAGATAAATCTCAATGCCTCAAAGGTCACAAAGAACAATGATATATTTCCTAGTTTCCATCAATTGATCCACCAAAGATGTGTGTTCCATCAGGACTATAGAAGATTGCATGCAGAAACATGTGTTTTTTTTTCGAAAACTTCTTAGTATTTTCCTTAACGGGGTGCTACTGAGATTCTCCCATTTCTTGGTATGTCTAATCAAACTAGCAGTTTCCGTTTTTAGTCCAGCCTCGCGATTTTGGGAAACGTACCAATATGGAGGATTGAAGCTTAAGCATGCATCACCCTAACCTTTTCTTGCAAAGCCTACGTCAAAATCACATCGCAAAAGCTGAAGATTACGGCCCAGTTCGCTTGTCTTTAAATTCAGTTTCATCCACTTATTTTTTCATACGAAATAGTGTTTTCTCTTATAAATTCCTTCAAACCATATAGATTCCTCCGGAATTCATATAAGAGAACAGGCCCTACGTGATGATTGAACGAGACACCAGGAAAAAAATTGCAACCCCCCACTCATGGAATCTGAACCCAAAGTGTCTTTTTTTCGACAAATACAAAAGTACGTGTCCTGTTTACCAATGTGCCAAAATGCATAATCATGAGTTCGGCGAGGTTTTAAGCCCTTGTTTAGTTCCAAAAACTTTTCTCAAAAAGTGTTACAGTACCCATTACATTGAATCTTGCAATACGTGTATGGAACATTAAATGTAGATGAAAAAAACTAATTGCACAATTTGATTGGAAATTACGAGACAAACATTTTAAACCTAATTAATCCATGATTAAAAATTAATTATCAAATAAAAACAAAAATACTACAATAATTCAAATTTCCAAATTTCACGAACTAAACACGCACTAGAAAACGTTGGCAACGCATTGATGGGCGACGTGCAGGTGCAGAGGAGGCGTGCGCCTAGTACGTGCTAGACATGACGCTGATGCGTCACTAGTATCTCCACAGTGCAGACTGGACAGAGAGAGAGAGACGGGGTCAGTGGCTAGCTTCACGCCAGGTTCAGGACTTGAGACTGCTCTGGCCTCGGGCGAAAGAAAGCCCGTTTGCTATGCTCTCTGCACCTGTACAGTGGCAGTTATTTATTATTGATTAGTTTGATTTCTAAAAAAAATACTGTTTTAGCTGTAAATTTACAATCGTTTTGAACAGGCTGCCGGGTCGCTGGCTCAGTTGGTGCCTCAAAAGCAGAGGTACAGCCTAGAGGCCAGAGACATCCAATGGTCTATTTGGTTGGCTGGTTCTTTTTGTTGCTGATTCAAAAAAAATATTATTAATTAATTTGTATGAGAAAAAAATACTATTCTCACAAGAAATTTACGACAACCTACGTCCAAACTGAACAGGCTACATGCTTACGCAGCTGTACCTGCTTGCTAGGCCACTCCAAGCACTATCCTAGTATTCTATCAATCTCTCTCCACTACTGTTACCGTCTGCTTTGGTGGCCGGCGTCGCTGCCTCTTCTGTCCTCTTCCTTGTCTTCCTCTCTCCTCCGCGATTCCCGAGACAAAGCCTCAGAGGGCAGCGTAGGGCACTGGCTGGCACGCTGCCCTTACGCTGCAGACGTCCACGCTCGGCGTCGACTCCGCGCAACAGATCCAGGCGCTGATCTCGGCGTCATGTATAATGGCGCTGAAGGCCATGTCAATGTCATCAGCCCGACACCTCGGTGTTTGATCTATAATGTCGAAATATGTTACCTCGATGTCATAAGTTGTAACGTCGATTTTTATGGTCTAAAGATTAGTTTACTTTCTCCAGAAAATTAAACGTAAATTTTCTTTAAAAAAAAAGCTAAATTATAAAAAAATTAGATAAGCTCGTCATGTGAACCTGAGCTGGGCCTTGCTTGAGCCACAAAACGTAATTGGGATGTGATTTGAGAGCCGGGAAAGATGCTCTTTTATCAATTGTTGGATAGCATCCTTGCAGCTCCAAGATCCCCAACGCAATTCGGGCTTGGTTCAAGGGCAAACATTGGGTTTGCTTCTCGGCCTTGGTTGCGATTTTGGGTATTGTGAGCTGAGCCCCTGATTTGCTGGTCGAGCGGGGAATGGGTGAATCTAGCGCAGGAAAGAAGCAGTCTGAAAAGCAAATGCAACAACTGGGGAAGGAAATAGAAAGTGACCTAAATAATCTACCCCAGCACTTGGAGATTAGGGAAGATGAGGAAAAAGGCATTGTTCTGGAAGAAGACTTGGAGGAATTAAAAGCAGAGGCACGATGGACAGCATTGGCAAAGGTTAGTTCCTCAAACCTTCAGTCATGCTGCATTTATAGAGAACATGAAGTATGCTTGGAGCTTGGCAAAAGATTTTAGCTTTAAGGCATAGAAGAAAATTTGTTTGTGCTCAAGTTTTCTTGTCCGGGATATTGGAGGAAAGTGATGGAGGAGGGTCCATGGATTTTTAGGGGCCACGCTGTTCTATTGGAAGAGTATGATGGGGTTACAGAAGCCCTCAAGGTCTAATTCAAATACCTGGCAGCTTGGATTCGTATTTATGATTTGCCAACAGGATTTAGAACGAAGAACATTGGGCGCCAATTGGAAAATAAAATAGGTGATTTTCTAAAGGTGGATCTCGACGAGGACAGTTTAGTGGCTGGAGAGACTACTTGCGTATCAGAGTTAAGCTTGATGTGGAGAAACCTCTGACTAGGGTTGTGTATATTTCGGTGGGGGACGGGAAGCGGGAGGCTTTTCGTGTGAAGTATGAGAAGCTTCCTAAGTTCTGTGCCTCATGTTGAATCTGAGTGTGGTGATGGTGTGCATGATAAGAAGGCTCTCCAATATGGGGACTGGCTGATTGCTAGCTTGGAAAGGAAAGGGAAAATAAAAGGAAGCAGATCCTCTAGTTCAACAGATATGAAAGAACCAGATTCTAGAGATTCAGCCAAGTCCTATTTCCAAGAGAGAAACTCAGATCCTAGCAGTGATAACAACAATAGAAGAGACTTAAATGCTTCGGTTGATTTAAAGGATGACGGAAGAAGCCCCTTGAAGAGGGATAGTGATCGGCACCTAAAATTTGATAGGGCAGGAGATAAAAAAATATTCTCACTCCAGGAGATGTAGTCTTACTAGAAAGCAACAATATGGCCTTGACTGTTATTCCCGCCAATGAGATGGAAATGAATCTGGTACACAACTTGGAAAAAGAGGATGGACATACTTTGTTAATAGGTGCTGATGTAAGTGAATCTTTAAAAGATGGGTTTTCCATAGAGCGAAACCAGAAGTGTCTAAGAGTGCAGGAGAAAGATGCAGATGTTGATTTTGATATGAGATCAACGGGCTCCCCAGAGGAGTATTGCTGGGAACAATGAAAATCATAAGTTGGAACTGTCGTGGGATTGGCAACCCTGCGACAGTAAAGGAGCTTCACGATCTCGCTAAGGATTATGCCCCCTCAGTGTTGTTCATCATGGAAACTTAGATTGATAAGTACCAAGTGGAAAATTTGTGTTACACTCTGGGTTTTGATGGAAAGGTAGGCCTAGTGCGGTGGTGAGAGCTGTCTCACTGAGTCACCAGGTCGTGGGTTCGAAGCAGCCTCTCCGCAGATTTGCGGGGGGAAGGCCTACCTCGATTTTTTCCTTCCCCAGACCCCACTCATGTGGGAGCCTCCGGCATTGGGTCTGCCCTTTTTTTACTCTGGGTTTTGATGCTAGCTATGTAGTTAGTAGTTTAGGAAGAAGTGGAGGGCTGGGGCTATTCTGGAAGAATGATGTGACAGTAACTATTCAAAAATTCTCAAACTACCACATCGATACAATTATTAAAGAAGATGGGAAAGATCCTGATGTCTTTCATTTATGGAGAGCCAAACAGGTCACTAAGGTATTGGACGTGGGACCTTACGAAGGAAATAAGAAGTGATACAGATCTTCCTTGGGTTTGTATGGGTGATTTTAATGAGATCCTTAGAAGGGAAGAACAATTGGGACCACATAATAGGGAGGAGTACTTGATGGAAGGTTTTAGGGAGGCGGTGGATGTTTGCCAGTTATGTGATATAGGCTATATGGGTTTGGATTGGACTTTTGAAAAGAGAGTGGCTAGAGGATATTTTGTCCAGGTTCGACTTGACAGAGTGCTGGCATGAGCCAGTTGGTGCACATGTTTTCCTCTTGCAGCAGTCCGCCGCCTCATGGCAGTGAAATCTGATCACTGTTCGATTCTCTTATCACTTCAACCAGATGAAAGGAGTGTTTCTGTACATGGGCAGGGC